GGTGGTGTGGGGTGTGTGGGGTGGTGTGGGGTGGTGTGGGGTGGTGTGGGGTGGGGTGGGGTGGCGTGGTGTGGGGTGGCGTAGGGTGGCATGGGGTGGGGGTGGTGTAGGGTGGGGTGGTGTGGGGTGGTGTGGGGTGGGGTGGGGTGGCGTGGGGTGGCATGGGGTGGGGGTGGTGTAGGGTGGGGTGGTGTGGGGTGGTGTGGCGTGGAGTGGCGTGGGGTGGCGTGGGGTGGCGTGGGGTGGCGTGGGGTGGCGTGGGGTGGGGGTGGTGTGGGGTGGTGTAGGGTGGGGTGGTGTGGGGTGGGGTGGGGTGGGGTGGGGTGGCGTGGTGTGGGGGTGGCGTGGGGTGGCATGGGGGTGGGGGTGGTGTAGGGTGGGGTGGTGTGGGGTGGGGTGGCGTGGGGTGGCGTGGGGTGGCGTGGGGTGGCGTGGGTGAGGGTGGGTGTGGGGTGCTGTAGGGTGGGGTGGTGTGGGGTGGGGTGGCGTGGGGTGGGGTGGCGTGGGGTGGCGTGGGGTGGGGGTGGTGTAGGGTGGGGTGGTGTGGGTGGGGTGGCGTGGGGTGGGGTGGGGGTGGTGTAGTGTGGGGTGGTGTAGGGTGGGGTGGTGTGGGGTGGGGTGGGGTGGTGTGGGGTGGTGTGGCGTGGGGTGGCGTGGGGTGGCGTGGGGTGGCGTGGGGTGGCGTGGGGTGGCGTGGGGTGGCGTGGGGTGGGGGTGGTGTGGGGTGGTGTAGGGTGGGGTGGTGTGGGGTGGCGTGGTGTGGGGTGGCGTGGGGTGGCGTGGGGTGGGGGTGGTGTAGGGTGGGGTGGTGTGGGGTGGGGTGGCGTGGTGTGGGGTGGCGTGGGGTGGCGTGGGGTGGCGTAGGGTGGGGTGGTGTGGGGTGGGGTGGCGTGGGGTGGGGGTGGTGTGGCGTAGGGTGGCGTAGGGTGGCGTAGGGTGGGGTGGTGTGGGGTGGGGTGCGTGGGGTGGGGGGTGGTGTGGCGTAGGGTGGCGTAGGGTGGCGTAGGGTGGGGTGGTGTGGGGTGGGGTGGGGTGGTGGTGGGGTGGTGTGGGGTGGTGTGGTGTGGGGTGGCGTAGGGTGGCGTAGGGTGGCGTAGGGTGGCGTGGGGTGGCGTAGGGTGGGGTGGTGTGGGGTGGGGTGGGGTGGCGTGGTGTGGGGTGGCGTGGGGTGGCGTAGGGTGGCGTAGGGTGGGGTGGTGTGGGGTGGGGTGGCGTGGGGTGGGGGTGGTGTGGCGTAGGGTGGCGTAGGGTGGCGTAGGGTGGGGTGGCGTAGGGTGGTGTAGGGTGGGGTGGGGTGGCGTGGGGTGGCGTGGAATGGCGTAGGGTGGGGGTGGCGTAGGGTGGTGTAGGGTGGGGTGGTGTGGGGTGGGGGTGGTGTGGGGTGGGGTGGTGTGGGGTGGGGTGGTGTGGGTGGGGTGGGGTGGTGTGGGGTGGGGTGGTGTGGTGTGGGGTGGTGTGGGGTGGTGTAGAGTGGTGTAGGGTGGTGTGGGGTGGTGTGGGGGTGGGATGAGGGTGGCGTGAGGTCTCACCGTGTTACCGAGGGTCGTGCCCCCCCCTAGCGAGGGTGACGAGGAGAGGGGGGCGACACGCTGCTGTGTGGGCATTGACATGGTCCTGGGGGGTGAGGTACGTCACATCCTCACCCTCGCTGCCCCCCTACACACGCACACAGACACAGATAGACACACACACAGACACACACAGACACAGATAGACACACACAGACAGACATTTAGATACACACACAGACACACACAGACACACACAGATAGACACACACAGACACACACACACAGACACATAGATACACACACAGACACACACAGACAGACACATAGATACACATACAGACACATAGATATACACACAGACACACACAGACACACGTACACAGACACAGATAGACACACACAGACACACAGACAGACATTTAGATACACACACAGACACACACAGACATAGATAGACACACACATACACATACAGACACAGATAGACACACACAGACACACACAGACAGACACATAGATACACACACAGACACATAGATATCACACAGACACACACAGACACACGCACACAGACACAGATAGACACACACAGACACACACAGACAGACATTTAGATACACACACAGACACACACAGAGTTCTGCTTGCTGGGTTTCTTTTCCATCTCGGCCACCGCCACCGCTTTCCCGTAAAATCACCCCCCTCCTCCTCCCCCCGCCAGGGTGAGCGACACTTCCCCATTGAGAGCTTCCTCCAGACGAAGCCCCACAATGCACGTCACCTCGAGGGGTGCTCTGGGGAATCAAGCGGTGCACGTGACGGACCACGTGCTGCTGATCAAGTTTCATGTATTAGGTGTAGCCCTCTTCTTGGTTCTTTCGGTAAAGTCACGTAGAATGGAAGTAATACAATAATAAACATAAAACATAATAAAATAATTCTCACGACGTTTCGGCCACAACGCAAGCAGCCGTCCTCAGGTGAAGAATGAAACACCACCAAGCTTGGAGCGTACATTTAAGCTGGGTTGGAGGGGGGGGAGGTGGGAAGAAGAGCGCCTTGACAAAATAATTTGCATATCAAGAGGAATTCCTCCGCTCCAAGCTTGGTGGTGTTTCATTCTTCACCTGAGGATGGCTGCTTGCGTTGTGGCCGAAACGTCGTGAGAATTATTTTATTATGTTTTATTTTTATTATTTTATTACTTCCCTTCTACGTGACTTTACCGAAAGAACCAAGAAGATGAATCCCTGCAGTCACGAAAGCTTTAAATCGAAATTTAGGTGTAGCCCTGTGAGCCATTCGGCTCTTGAATCGGGTGCAACCGCAACAAACAGAAAACTAAAACATGAACAAGAAAAACATCTTGAAGTGAATATGTGACTGAGTGCAAACAGAAGATCCAAGAAAAGACAGCAAAATGTTGCAGAAAAAAGCACGTACACCAACGCTGTGTGCAAACATCCCAGTGGGATGCAAGTCAAACAACAACAACTACAACCACAAGACAACTTAGATTAAGGCCATCAGTCTAACTCTGTACTACAACAAACAAACATGGCCAAACCGAAAAACTTTTCAAAAATCACCAAAATAAAGCCATGAAAGCAATGAAACAGTGATCATAGGAACTGTGACCGAATTTTCACAATAAACGACGTGAACAACATGTACTACCAAACTCCGCAGCCATAGCTGGCTGCTTGAGTCACTCCACAACAGCAGGAGACATTGAATGACGAAACCGGTCATTGCCCTAGAAACGTTTGGGCAGTTCACCAACATTGGTTCAAGCAGAGCTTGGCTCTGCTGCTGATGATGACACACGGACTGTAACGCCCATCGTATAATAATAAGTATTATATATTGTTGTTATTATGGTATTAGCCAGGGCGGCTTGCCAATCTGTACCACGAACCTCTGTGACACAAAGGAGGCTGTCTTGCTCAGGTGTAGGCCAATCGGTTCCAAGGGCAATGCGTTAGAGGTCGCAAACGGGTTTTGTTTCCTTACCCGTACCCGGCCGCACCAGGGTGGCAAACGGGTACCCGTACACGTACCCGGCCGGGTACGGGTAGCCGGGTATCGGGTAGGGTACGGGTATCAGGTACCCGGTTGCGACCTCTGGTTAGCAGTGTCAATGATGGTGTTAATGATGGTGTTGATGATGTTGATGGTAATTATGCTTATGATGGTAATGTTAATGATGTTTATAATGATGGTGTTAATGACTGTGTTGATTAGAATGTTGATGGTGTTAATGATGGTGTTTATGTGAGCAATGTCCATGATGGTGGTGTTGATGGTGGTTGCGTTTACAACACCGCTCACAACAACAACGAAGACGATGACGTCACCTGGCTTCTGGGCGGGGCCCCCAGCGCACTGCTGGGCTGCGATTGGCTGCGCAGACGATGTGGGTGGAGCCTCTGCTCCGCCCCGTGCAATTGGTCGAGCGAGTGGGCGTGGCCCGGCGAGGGGTGTGGCCCGGCGAGGGGGCGTGGCCACCCGGCGAGGGGGCGTGGCTTCGGGCAGGGACCGGGAAAATGGCCGACGTGCTCCTGGTGATGGCGCCGGACCTGGGATGAGAGGAGCCTCCTGATTGGCCGGCGTTGGCGGAGTAGGACGGGCTTGGAGATTTGGATTGGTTGGCGGGGTGGGTGCCATCTGTGTGACGAACACAGACGAATTGTGACACACTGCGTACTAGCTAAACTATTAAACTGTTTTATTTGACCAGGTAAGATCCAGTAGTAGGTTTTTACCCTTTAAACTGGTACAAAAACTGACACCTTTATACAAGGCATCATGTTTGCAATACCACAACACAAGCAGTCAGAATGCAAACAAAAAGAAACAACTCTGATAATGATATGCACTGTTCTAGATTTGACAGACAACCATTACAGTTTTACCATGTCTAGTGGTGGTCTCCCTGTCACAGGTTGAGGTCACAAACCGCACCTCTCCATAACAAAGGCTCAGCCAAAGGCTCAGCCTTTGTTATGCAGTCTATTCTTAGTCTTAAGCCTCACCTTACCATATTAATAAAAAGTATGCGGCCCTTGCCCCACCACCTTCTCCAACCATTATATAAACGGAGTGGTAGCTCCTGAAATCTCTCATTTACTTGATACAGCTGTCGTGGCTGTGACGGTACCACCTGAAGACGGAAGCTTGTGTTGCCTCCGAAACGTCGTGATTTTTATTTTATTTACTTTTTAATGTTTTTACCTACGTCACTTTACCGAAAAAACCTAAGAATATAGATATGCACTGTCCTTGAAGTTGATTGGTCCACACCCGAGACAGCTTTTCTTAGAGCCTAGTCTCCATTGGTGTTGGACCAGATGACGCCAAAAGGCGTACAACTCAAAGACAGCGCACTATCAGAGTATTGAGAGCTCGGGGTAAGCATTTACACTATGAGACCTCCTTTACCAGTGCCAAAATATAGTAGTAGGTTTTTACCCTTTCAGCTGGTACAAAAACTGACACCTTTATACAAAATGATGCCACCAGTTTAAAGGGTAAAAACCTACTACTATATTTTGCCACTGGTAAAGGAGGTCTCACAGGTAAGATCCATTGAGCTTACAAGCGACTTGGCTACCACAAATGAACGTTCAACAAATGTATAGCGGCAATCAAATACTGTGAACGCGTGATGTTGATTCTCAATGTTGGGGGGGAAATCGGAGAACATGCAAACTCCAAGTATACAGCAGACATTAGGGTCGGGATCGAAACCACAATCTCCTGCATACGAGGCGAGGGGTATAACATCTCATCACAACCATAGCACCCCAGACACACAAGAGACACACAGAGAGACACAAAGAGAACACACAAACAACAAATATATACCCATTCACTAACTCACTCACCCATTAATTCACTAACTCACATACCCATTTACTAGCTCACTCACCCACTCATTCACTAACTAACTCACCCATTCATTCACTAACTCACTCACCCACTCATTCACTAACTCACTCACCCACTCATTCACTAACTCACCCACTCATTCACTAACTCACCCACTCCTTCACTAACTCAATCATTTAGTCATTCACTAACTCACCCACTCATTTACCAACTCACTCACTGACACATTTACTCACTCACTCACTCACCCACTCATTCACTAACTCACTCACCCATTCATTCACTAATTCACCCACTCATTCACCAATTCACTCACTGACACATTCACTCAATCAATCACTCACCTACTCACTGACCAACTCACTAACCAAATCACCCACCCATTGATTAACCCACTCACTCACCCACTCACTCACCCACTAACTCCTCCAAACCTCGCTGAGGTTATTGTGTTTTTGGCGATCCTCTTTACCTACGTGTGTACGTCCGGGCCACCAGTAGTGATAGAAATTATCTGAACCGATCCTGGCCCTCCTCTAGGTCGAATCAGCCTCGAATGAGTTCACGTGGTGCGTAGTAAACATCGCCACTGGGGATACAAAGGCGGTCAGGCAGGAATGGTGCTGGCCTTCGTACGTCCCCGCGAATCTAATTTTCTTCGACAGTCTGTTATGTTTGCTGTGGGGAGCAGTGGTTCAATGGTTATCACGCTGCGCTACGAACCTGGCGACCCGAGTTTGATTTCCGCTCAAGGACACCAACACCACCGGCAATTACTTAAACTGGTCCTGGGTATCCCCTAGGTCAACTCAGCCTCAAATGAGTAGCTGGTGTGGTGTGTGTAAAACATGGCCAATAGGGAGACAAAGGTGGTCGGGCGTGCGTGGCGCTGGCCATCCAACCCCCCTCGTGTGCCACCGTGCCGGCCTTCGTAGGCCTGCTGCTACTCGCCGCTAACAGTACTTGCTACACGGGGGGTCGGGGGGGGGGTCTTTGCATGTATCTGTGTGTGTGTGTGAGAAAGAGACTGTGGCTAATGTATAGGAGATTGCAAATCATGTTTCCAGGAATCCGAGTCTGCACTTAAAGGAAATGCCATGCGGTGGTTAGTGGTGAAATATTCTCTGCGTGTGGCTTCACAATAACGTGGCCCAAGTGGTCGGTGTTGTTGATGTTCAAATGGCAGATACCTTTTGCAAGGCATCAAGTACTGCATGGATCACACGTACTTGTGGCAAAACATGCAGACAAACATGCTCCGATAACATATATGCATCGTCTTAAACATGCAAACGAATATGCGATCATCAGCGCATGCTTCGTTTGCATATTTTTCCACAAGAGTACGTGTCGTTAATGCAGACGATGCTTTGCAAAAAAGGTATCTATTTGGCGTTTGAATATCTTAACACAATTCCTGTTTGATTGTCAGAAAGTGTAAACACTTAGTAAAAATTTACACTATGAGACCTCCTTTACCAGTGGCAAAATATAGTGATAGGTTTTTACCCTTTCAACTGGTACAAAAACTGACACCTTTATACAAGGCATCATGTTTGCAATAACCACAACACAAGCAGTCAAAATGCAAACAAAAATAAACAACTCTGATGATGATAATGATATGTACTGTCCTTGAAGTTGATTGGTCCACACCCGAGACATCGCTGAGTCTCTCTGGTGGATCCTGTCAACTTTCTGTACGACTGGGTGTGATATTCCTACCGCTATTGTTGCTTCTGCTGCTTGATGCCAATTGAGTGATTTGCGGGCAATTTTTCAGCATTGGGGCGGTTTGGCCGCAATACCAGTTCCTCTGTGGGTGTGGGTTTAGCTATGGGAGGAAACGCATGCAGATCTCAAACTCATACGAGCCTAAGCGTGCTTCAGACCCGGCCGATCCTATGCAGGCCCAACTACTAAATCCTCACACAGCACATCAAAGATGGCTTCTGACAGAAGTTGATCACCGGGTCCAGCGTTTGTTGAGTTATCTTGCTTACGGCACTGTTCAACACCACATATTGATCCAAAAACTGTACCTCCTAACTTGCGACCTAGATCTTCGCCAGACCATTCGTAGCCTCACTAAAGAACAGATGCCTCTATATGGAACTAAACGGGCAGAAAAGTAGATAGCGTTTCCAAAAGAATGGCTTACCACAAGGCAGTGTGCTCGCCTCACTTTCATTCAATATCTACACCAATGATCAGCCGCTTCCTGGTGAATGTCAGCGGTTCATCTATGCTGATGATCTCTGTTATCACCACACAGCAGAGACATTTCGAGGATACAGAGAAGAAGATCTCCGACCATCATCACCTAGCCAGTGAACTGGAACACGTACACCAAGCCCTCAAGATGAATGGATATTCAGACCACACAATCCGTAAAGCTATCACCCCAACCGTTGGGAAAGAACCATCTGAGGACCCAATCAAAACCATCCCCTTGCCATACATAGCAGAGGTCACCAAAATATTTCCAAAATCATGAGCAAACACAAGATGCAGGTTCGATTTAACACAGTACAGACAATTCGTGATCTGATCCCATCTGTGAAGGATGAGATCCCTGACATGCAATACCCCGGCGTCTACAAACTAGGCTGTGTCTGCGGCAGTAGTTACATTGGGGAAACTAAGCGACATGTCTCGGACCGTGTTCGTGAACACAAGGCAGATCTGAAACACGGTAGGACCAATACCTCGGCTGTGGCTGATCATTGTTTTAATGCGGTGGGCTCACACGAAATTGATTTCTCTAAGACAAATTTACTTTGCAAGCCCACTGGCTATCAACAAAGATTTGTTCATGAAGCCATCCATATATACAGACACAATTTCAACCGAGAGGATGGGTACAAACTCAGCAATCACTGGAAGGACGTCAACAATAAGTTTAAGTCATAACTGGCTGTGATGTTTCATTTCAGCACTCTCTGAGGCTCACCAGTTTTTGAATCCTTCACATTAACATAACCTTCAACACTCATGCTGCCCCGGGTCTTTTGTGCCCCCCCCCACCCACTCTGTTCTGACACTTGGGCTACGCCCATCTTAAACCTTTATAAACAGTTTGACTTTAGAGGCTTACCCCATTTTGTCTTCACCTGATGACGATTGCTTGCGTTGCGATCGAAACGTCGTAGTTTTTGGTCGTAGTTTTTTTTACCTATCTACATGACTTTACCGAAAGACTCAAAGAATACAATGTGTGCTTGTCAGGTGAAGCAAACCGTGGATCATCTCCTGAAGATGCCCTGCAGCAACCGCAATACACTTCCTCAAGATTTGGCAATGCCAAACACCAGAAGTCTGTGCAGAATATTGGGAAATACAATAGAGGTTGGACAAGAGAAACGATGAAGAAGTGGAGTGCAGTGCTAACCACACACATGCAATCACCCATGCACTCAACAACAACAGCAGCCATCCGTTACTAAGTGATGGTGATGTCACCATGATGCTTGCGCCAGGCTAGCTGCACTTTGAGGCCATGTGAAATGTCGAGGGCTCTCTGCTGACAGAAGGTCACGGAAGAGACCCAGGTGTCATGGGTTGACTGACTGAGATGCCTGGAAGATGCA